CTATTATCTGAAATATCTTGAATAAATATGCAAATGCATCTAAAATACTGTAACTTGAATCACCACAGAGGAAAATTCAGTGATTTGTTTCCTGAGTATTATTGAGTATTAAGTTTGTTTTGGATATTAATATTGGATATCAATATCCAATAGACAGCCAGCAGCTGATGCATTAATTCCTTAGAACAACAGCAATGACCAACAACAATGATGACAAAAACAACATTAATAATAATTATCATCATCATCATCATGGTCATCATTATCATCATCATCATACCTGAGCAGCATCATTTCTTTCCCTGAGAACCAACACACATGCCTAAAGCACAGGCAAAAAAAGAAGTGAAAAGACATGTTCTCAATTATTAGAAAAGAGTCATTTACAAAAAAGTAGCACAGCCTTCTCTTTATAGTGTATCAAACAAGAATTAAGATGCATTATCCATAAAGCCCAAAAACTAAAATAAGTCACATCCATTTTACCCCCAACGGAAATGCAATGTGGTAAAATATTTATAGTATCGTACAACTTCTCCCAAGACACAGGTAGTTTTGATTTTGTCAAAAAACAGTACTGATTCTAGTTTTTGCTGCAACCTCATTTGCCATAAATTAACCATCTTCTCAGGTAACCAGAGTTACATGGTCAAATGGTGTTTGAGCAGTAGCAGACTGCACCACCGCCTGCTTTTTACAAGCAGTAGATGATTAGGTGTGGGTGAGAATATTATTGCAGCAGCTTGTGATGAATAAATAAGAACCAGTCTTAATTGGTGTAAATAATTTGATTGGTGCAGGGAATCAGAGGCAATCAGAGGCAATTTGATTTGCAAGAACAAAGTAGCAGTTGTGCATCCATATTGGTATACAGGTATGCAGGAATGACAGTGCATTAGATGTTAACAGTATTCTCACTAAAATGATACCATGCTGGGAGTCAATAGGCCAAACATTTTTTAAACAGTGTAAATTGTATACTTACATTATTTGGTATAACTTGACTGGCTGAGGAAATTTCAACCTGACCATAAGGTCGAGGCTGACAGGACCTACCCCCTGATTTTTTGTAAGGGTGAGGATAGGATGGAGGGAGGGGTGCAAGTAAAATGTGAAAAATCTTGCCTGCTGAGCATCCTATGCGCAGCAGAGAGGAAGTGGGCGAGATTCAAGTCTGACCTCTGCCCGAACGTCTGTAGAAAAACTCCATTAAGTGAGTCTCTCTGGTAGTAAACAAGCCGTCTAATACTTTCATTCTGATATGAATACAGATAAAATAAATTCTATGTTCTTGACACAAACATATATTACAATTCAATATCATTTGGTTTAAAATTTAAATTTAGTAGAGGAACAAACTTCTATTCTTCTCACATATACTGTACAGTATATATAGTCCTCACTGATATTCAGTCATCAATATTGCATCCCACAAAAATATGTTGTATCTACTGTAACATTCGTGAACAGACATGTAAGGTACAGTATTAATAAGAAAATCTGTCATCACTCCTTTGCTTCTTTTTGTTTAAAAAAATCTCAATTTAAAAGTCATACTGTAGGTATCTTTTTATTCTGGATCCTCAATAGTTAAAATGCATACATTGAATAATCCTTAGAACTCATTTTAACTCAGTGTTCCATGAAGATGTGATTCATCTGCAGTACGGTTCAGACCTTCAGCTCATTTTTTAATTCGATGGCAGACAAAAGGTTAGAGGTTGACAGCGCTGTAAATTGCGAATCCCATTGATTTGTGCGTCCGGTGTAAAACCAGAGAAAAGAATCATTGCCTGGCAGTGTACTGCTTGAATGCATCCCAATAAATACCTGGGATTTCATTTTTGAGAGGGAGAAATTCAAATACTGCATGTTGCTCTTCAACTTCAACTATACGTACAATCAATTTAACACGGTAGAATATTCAAACATCATTCTGAAAAGTATTTTGGCCTTGTTGCACAATATTAACATTCTTATTTACTTCAAGGGCACGTAATCAGCTTAAAAAATGGAAAGCTGCCTGATAACACCTTTTTGTTTGTCATTCTAATATTAAAGCAGTCCTCACTATATAAAATGCATAGGATGCAGCAAAGAAAAACAAGCATATTTCAAAATTCTACTTTAGTTTGCTTCAAATATTACTGTAAAAATGCACCCATCCATTAACGGAGTGAAACACATTTTTATGGTCAAATGCAGAATCATTGTGAGACGAATTCTTTGTATAGATACAGTAGATCTTGACTACAGAACATCCTGTGGTGCATACTGAAAAGCGTTGTTTTAAAGCCGCCTGCTTCGCTTCTGAGGTTATAAAGACAGCGCTAAAGCAGTTAACAACTCTGACTCTACAGCCCCTTCCATGACATTAGCAAGTCCAAAAATGCTACTGGAATTAGTTCAATCGCAAATACAGAACAATTTATCTATAACAAAGGTTCTTCTCCCTCATGGAGACCTGGGATTTTATTTTTCAAGATAAACTGAAATTGATATCCTCCTCCACAACATGTAGAAGTACAATCAGTCATGGTGAACTGTATATGTAAGATTTTTTTAACATTTTTCAGAAAGCTGTTGTGGCCATCAAAAAATGTCATGTATATTGGTTTCTGTACTTGCCTCTATATCCTGTGTTGCTTGTGCATGTTGTGTGTTCTACAAATCAGTTTCTGTCACTTATAAATATGCAAATGCATTTGCTTCAGTGGGCACTTTACAGGTAATATCAGTGAGTCATAACGTCAACTCTGACAGAATGACTTCAACTCTGTAACAACTGACAAAGCATTCCTACTGTAATTCAGTTTGAGAGAACCTGTCGAAATGGACATTTGCATAGCTATACATTATTCACAACTGAACTCCAGGATGCTAACGAGACACATTCACAAAGGGATACAAAGACAAAAAAGAAAGAACTAGCACATAAGTTATGATATTTAAGTATTTAAAAATACAAATTGTCTTATTTTTCTTTTCTTACCTTTCTTTTAAGTGAAATGTAATAAGTTTAAGTTAGAGAAAGTTGCACATATAGTAGAGTAACCCCATTTAAGCTTGTAGTGCGGTCTCAAAATTTAAAAGAATCCAGTGGACAAAGAGTACTACGATTCATTTAGTAGCATTATTAGTTTGGTATTCTTTATAGAAGAAAATGTTTTAAATAGATAATTTCCAACTTGAATGTGTGTTTTACATATTAACTAATTCAACATGTCATCACTGCATGAGAATAAACATAATTAATAGAGGAAAAATGTAAAACACTTTCTTTCCAGGGCAACAGAATCAAGGAAACCCGTTCTGCAATCTACAGCATCTCTAAATCCATCATCAATGCACATTACTGGAGGCAATATTGGAAACGAGCAGCCAACAAATTTAACTCTGTGCTAAGTCAAAGGTCAAAAAATGATTTAAATCAGAGGACATACTCACATAGGCTTAGGCCATATATGTATTAGTCTAGGCAATTACAGAACAGGCATAAATCTACATTCTGGGTCAAAATAATTAGGCCTCTTTGTGTGGGAGATTGAGGCTTAATATGCATTACAGTTTCTGCACATATTTCAGTTAAACCAGACAGTTCTAGCTTATTATACATGGAAAAACTCAATATACATAATATCACATCATTTGAAAATCAGACTGGGTTTGGGAAATATGATAATCCTTTGTTTCAGAAATGCTGAATGATAATTCCTTTTTACAGTTTATACTCAAAAAAGTCTAAAGATGTAAAGTAGCTGCTATTAATGTCATTTTCTTAATGCATTCATGTGTATAATTAAGGAACTGTACAATGCCTATTTTACTTAGTATCAGATCATTAAGGTATACAAACACACCTTCAAGCTTTTCAATATTGCAGCTCTGCCACAGTACTTTGCCCCACAATTATAAACAGTAGCTGTTCATCTAAAAAAACTTCGATTGGAAAGCAAGTGTTCCAACAGGTATAAAGTAGGAATACAGATCACCATAATACATAAAAGCATTACACATACGGATCTACATAAATATTAATGCATTAAATGGGGTTTATTTAAAAACGAGAAGTATGTGAAAAATGGAATGGCATGAATACTAAAGTCTATGTTCCTGTTGCAGATTACATTTTATCTTTCATTGCTGTAAACAAAAGATAACTCAGTGGTTATGCTAATGTCAGGTTGCTCCTGGAGAACTTAATAAAATTATGAACCTGACATATTTCTGTAAACAATGTTTGATGTGCTTCTCATTCAAGTGATCTCAGACCTAAACTAAAAAAGAATAAATGTGGGGAAACACACAGTATAAATTTAGACTTCCACAGCTGGAAAATAGCATTATGCCCATCTGTGTTCACAAATGTATTTTTATCAGAAGTGCAAAAAACGAATACGATGCTGTATGTGCCATTCATTAGTATGTAATTAACCATCTCTGTTTCTGCAATCTGTTTCTGAACCATAGATTAACAAAAGAAGATGGTTTCATTACCTTTTTCACTAGGTGGCAGCATAGAGTCATGACTAGTGGATTGTGGGTTCAAGTCCCTCCTGCAGACATTGTCGTACCTTCAGGGAGGTACTATAGCCAAATTCCACCCAGTGTTTACTGGGGGAAGGTTCTGTGATGGACAAGTGTCCCATCTGAGGGGTGTGTACTCTCTGCATAACACCATAGAAATGAGGATAAGCTGTGGCCAAAGTGCCATTGTAGCTGGAAAACAGAACTACCTACTGTAGTAGCCTCTCTAGTCAGGATTTGGACTTGATTGGATATGTATTTCACATGTGATTTTATAAACTGTTTAATGGTACAATATATATATACATATTTATTTCACCTACTCTCCCACTGATGACTTCTGGATGCCAAAGCATTTGTGGTATTAGTTAATTTGTGCACAGGATGAGACGTATGGGAAAAATAAGATGTATTGAAATGCCTGTTTTGACGGACTTAGAGGGTTTTAATGATTCATGAGCTAAATAACGCACCTTGGAAGCTGTGTTTTGGAATCTTGGAGCTGCTATAGGGTTGATATAGAAAACTTGTTTTGTTTGGGGATGTGGAGGATGGGGTTCAACCTTTAAAAAGAACAAGAAACACACTTTTGTTCAGAACTCTATGATGAAATATGAATATTTCCTATATGGAGATGGATCAGTGATATACAGCACCAAAATAAAAAAAAAAATAGAACCTTGCAGCCATTCAATAGTCCAAGGTTGATTTCCCTTCTGGATATTGTTTTTAATTGATGTACTGTAACTCATTTTCCTTGAATCCCACTGTTTCTGCTACCACCCAACAACACCACCAACACAGGAAAATACATAACAAAAAGTCAAATCCATCCAAAATAAGACTCATTTACTCATTCGCATCCTTTTACAGAAGCCCGAAATACTGACATGATATGGCATGCTATATAGTGATCAATGGTTTCGGAAATCAATGGTCTCCTGTTTCAAGGCAGCCGAAGAGTAAATTAATAAAACTGAGGGGACTTACCCTTACAAAGCTGGCTGGAAACCATCCTTCCTCATCATCAATCTGGCCCCACCACCAGTCCTTATTAGAAGCATCAAGGACTTTGATGACGTCCCCAGCCTTAAATGCCAACTCCCGATCGGCCATGGTGACGTGATCCCATACTGCCTCGGCACTGACAATTGAACCACCACTGATCAACTAAACAGGAGAGAAGCAAAAACACAGAAAGAGACGTTGAGTTTTGGTTCAAACCCTTCATTCTTCAATCCTCACCACTCCTCCTACAGTAGTAACTGCAAAGAGGTCAGGCAAAGGGGAAATATGCCAGGTCCCAGAAAAGATTCAAATTGCTGCAGAAATCTAAAACCCTGACAAACATTTTTGCTGCAGAACTGTATTTGAAACCTGCAGCTTATTGAAGCTCATAAACTATAAGTTATTAATTCAGAGATGGATAACGCCAGTTCTTAACAGCTGGAATTCTGCTCAAGACCAAAAATAACAGGCAATTTGAATTTATTACTAAGATAATTATTGATTTAACTAAGCAATTATGGTCAGATCAGCTACAGTATGAAACTCAGAAAAGCCTGCAGCCTTCAGAACTGGAGTTAAGAAATCCCTGTATTAACAGATGTTTATGTGAAAGGTGCCAGTTTTTTCTCTACAGTAGAGAAAACCAACATTCAGGGCTATTCACTAGCATTTCAAAAGCTACTTTTATGGCTGAACTAGATTTAAGTAAAGGTAATTTCAAAAGCAGTTGTAACAATGGATAATGAAATTTCATCAGTTTCCAAAAGCACAATTGAAAAATATTACAAATTTGAAAAAATATTATTTAAGTTGATTTTTTTAAAAGTGTATGTTAAGTTATATTTGCCTGTGGATCTTGCTGATTTGCAATGCATTTACTGTACATTAAATAATCTTTTGAGGGATCTGACATACAAACAATAAAATATCAAATTAAATCCAACAGCATCTACCCTAACATATTTTTTTTCAATCTATAGTGTATTAGAAAAGGCTGTCTATTATAATGGAGGATGATCATTCTGGGAACAAACAGTAGCAGTAAATACCACAACATATATACAATTACACCATAAACATCCACAATAATTTGCATAAAATCTTTTATGTCCTTACTGTATGTCTTAATGCCAAATTAACTATGTGTCAATATGGTGCTTAAAGGACACTGGCTATTTTTTCAAGTACCCTTGCAATGTAATCAACAAAAATATAAATAGTGTAAGACATATTAATACACTATTTATGATGAGCTTCTAAAATACTGGTGGAGTTTCACCATCTTGTCATTTTTTTTCTTTAAAATCATTTGACTGGCTCAACATTTACTCGTGAATTATTAAATAATATCCTGTTAGAATAAATTAATTTTAAAACCATTATACAATTCTAAATTCTACATTCTATATTTAGCTGAAAAACTTTCGGCATTATATTTTATTAATTAAAATAGACACCTAAAATACTCTTATGAGTATGTCACACTACTGCAGTACTGACAAAATGACCAGCAATCAATCCAGAAATCGAGAGAATCCAAATTCCAATAATTAAAAAAAATGACCTCTCACCTCTCTAGCTAGGTTGAGTTTAACCGAAAGATGTATTCATAAAACCATCCAAAACAATTGTGGATTGTATTTTGGACTGCATCTTAATCTTCCCTCAAATAAAATGTCTGCATCTGCTTTTGATTATCTTTAATCTTTTGATTTTATATGGTGCTCTTAAATTATGTCTGACACTCTTTATGTGGAAATACATGCCAACAGTATCTACAGTAAAACTGATGTGATGTACTGTAATAACTGTCCAAATGAAGGTCATGCAATGATTTTGTCATGTTACCATAATACTACAATACATACCCACTTTAATGGAAAAACAAAACTCCCTCCATTAATATAGCCATATAAGCTCAAGAACTTGTCTTGATTCTCGAAATGTATTGTGTGCTTCTTTTCTAACTTTTAGAGTTCTAGATGTTATATCTTATAGAACAACACAAATAAGATTGACTTTCACATTATATTTGCCAACAGAACAACCAGAAACTGGTTAGCAAATTTAAAGCACAATATTCTCTATGCTAATGCTACAGGTTAATTCTGCTTCAAGAATCTCTCCAATAATTTGGAATTAAGTACACAAAAGATTTCACAAATAATGCACAGGAGATATGCCTTTACACATTTCACTCTTTTTTTTCTAACACAAGCATCACTATATGGCACAAATGGTATGAACCTGAGGCTCCAACTCATTAAAGCATTTCCACAAGGGTAATTAAAGCAAATCTATTTTTTAAAACCTTCCCCCTCTTCATTTCAATATTTTTTACTTCTCTCGATAAATCATATGCATATACTCAAGAGGAACAAAGCAATGCTCAGTTGCCTCTTATATAACAGACAGTGAATCTGAATATTATCCCAAGAGCATGTCTAAAAATAATGATCATTGCTTTTTTTCTAGGTAATACGTTATGATACAACATGGAAAGAATTTCTGCTGTGATGTCTCACTGTTTTATTTCAAGGACTGTACCAAAGACTTTTAGAAAGAAACATTCTTATCTTTGACATTAAAGTCACGTCTATGACTCTTTTCTTAAATTAGTAGACATCGTCGGAACTCAAGTGGACATCCTTATTTTTTACGCAGATTTCCACTTGACTTATTTCTGTTACTTACCTAAACATACAGTATAGTTTTTACAGTCTTTCTTCCCAGTATAAAAGTTTCAGGGCAAACTGTATTAGTTGGATCTCTAATAATTGTGTCATCTATCACCTGTCCAACACCAAAACATGGGTCTTGTCAGTGGATGTTTGTGGATTACTGAGTCTGCAAGAACATGGATAGTTTAGCTGGGGCAATTGGGACTGTTGTCCTTAGTAAATATTGTATGCCTGTGTCAGTCCTATTAGAACATTGAATCCCATCAATGAAACTCATGTTAAAACAAGGCTTACCTAATGCTTCAATCAATGTGCATGCAGGGCTTGATGTGTGAATATTTGTTTTGCTTGTTCTGTTAATGAGCAACTATTAACACTTTATTACTTACTAAATTATATTTATTGTCTTATATATTCTGACATAAATAGAGATACACTGCCTTAGATCATTAATTTTTATTTTGTGATAAAAACATTATTTTTTTAACGATGAAAACAATTATCTGCTAAAAGTAAAGTAGCGAAATACAATGTAACACTCAAATGGCCACTATTATTGCTTTATCACAGAAAAACTTTAATCCATATCTCCAGCTATGCAACTGTGACTGTTACACATGATTAAGAAGGAAATGTTTATTGCTGCTCAGCTAGAATTGTTAATCATTTCAGTTACTGCAGCCTCCTGTGATAATTGCTTTGCAAATAAAGTTCATAGCCATACTTATTTTCCAGTACTGGCAGGAGTGAATGATAATGTAGGTACCAGATGTACTCTGTGCCATGTTAAGCATTCTAGATATCAACCAGAATGTGTTGTCAAATAAAGTCAGCTGTTGGCTTCCACATAAAAATTGACTACATGATGGTTTTGTGCAGGCCATTCATTCATGGAAGAGCCCAAGCCCTGTACCAGCCGAATGGTTTGACATATGATGAAAGATTAATACTGCAGGTGTGAGACATTCTGAGTTAGTGAAAGACACCACCCAGAGTGCAGGGTAAAACCTGCAGAACTGTTGAAATACAGGTGGTGCCATGGGCAGGCAGTAGTGAGGAATTCCCATTAGAAACTCAAAATGCTCTGAAGACCACAGGTTTCGAGAGGATCTGCAGGTAAATGTCGCAAAACAGTTGCTCCTGTTGCTGCCCAAGCCAGCCATGATAATCCTGTCAAGCCTTCATTTCACATTTATACTTGATTTGCGCTGCACATTGTTGGGGCATATACTTTTGCTTCTCTCAAGTAAATGAAGAATGAAATTATAAATTCTGACCACGCACGGCCTGATTGTAGATTCTGATCAAAGGTGTAACTAAGACTTTAGGAATACAGCTATTTTTAAATGACAGCAATGCCAGATATTGTTTCTACATCTTTTTAACAGTCTATTGAAATCCATTGGCTTTCCTTAATCTTTTTTAGATGGCACTGGCAAGAACAGCTACATTTTTATATTTTAAGACAAACCAACCTATTCCTCACAAACACACTGTATGTAGTCCAGCTTGACTGCCAGTACAAAAAATATCAAAAGCATATGAGATATTAATATAAATTGAGGTTATTGAAAAATAAATGTAATGTATAAAACATAACATAATTCCTTGACATATTGAGAAAAAGCATGTGAGTAGGTATAGAGACTTCCTCTCTCTAAAATCAGTTCCTGCTCCCCTTCTTTTTATCAAGACCACATAAGTTTCTAGAAACGCCCACGCACTAAACTATGCCATTTCTTTAAAAGCATGTCTTTTAATGATCACCAAATGCCAGTGGTCAGTTTTCCTTTGCTTGGTAGTTAAAAATAGAAACAACTAGCATAACAGTTTTATTGACTGCATACAAAAAAATTCTTTTTAAGGTACTTCAACTAAATATTGCTCTGAAAACCATCCACATCCATCCTTGTCAATTTTTAAAACTGTCGGATCTACGAAATGAGGAATTAAGGATTGTGGATGAAGTAGTATGTGGTTCATTAGAAGCTGATAGCATGACAATTTCTGGATTAAATTCATTTTATGAATTAATCTCTTACCAGACAGATCATTCAAGAAAGATCTTCCAATTCTGCTTTCTAGCAGTGTGAAACAGAGTTAATTAATATTCATATATACAGTACCATGATGCATTGCTACACTAATCGGGAAAGGCGTGCTTTGCAAGTGATAGATAGATGATGAGGTTACTGAAAAAAATGTAATATGGACATAGCCTTATGTTAAATCATTAATTTCTTGTGATAAACTTATTTTCTTCTTTTTCACACTAATGTCTTTCAGTTATTATGTTAGAACAGATATATTAATTGTTCATTGTTTATATAATTACTCTGAAATTATATCTTATTTTTCCTTCACATAATCTCAAAATGAAAAAATGAAATTAAAAATTAAAATGAATGTTTCTATATAAAATATTTCATCTGGTGTTTACATTTCAGTTGAAAAATTATCAATACTACCTCTCCTACAAAA